GGGTTCACGTTATAGCGCACATACAACGGCACCCACCGATTTAAGATATTTTGATAATCCTAGACACTTTTACTTACAAAATTGTTTCAAATTTGGTATTTATGACATACCAATCTTTGTAACCTAAAATTGTCTATATCAATTCCCGTATTAATACAGCCCACAGATGACGGCTTCAACCACCTTATGTTTTTGTCTTACTAACATTTTTAGTTTAAAGTGTAAAAATTGAATCCGGATAATTTTTTATAAAAATGTTTTCTTTACACAATGTTGGATTTATTCAAAGTTAGGCCCGGCCGAAAAAAAATATACCTAACATATTTTTTTTATAACCCAAAGGAAAGCATGTGACCAAGAGAGAAATAGTTTCAAGAGCCTTGTATGAACATTTATTAGCATCGAAGATAAATTTTTAAGCCATCTATGAATGGCCTTGTATTTGTACTAATAGTAGCCCCTCCCACCTCTACATAAAATCTTATCAGAATTGACTATCGTTGACTTAATACAAAACCCCATTAACGCCATAAAAACAAATAAGTGTTTAGTAAATAAATATAAATATTAATAACAAATCTATTTGCATCGAGAAAAACAAACACATTTTAATCAAATTCCTAGCAAAGAAAATTTTCATATCATTTTCAAGTGCATACTTTCGGGCTTTATCATCATAGAAAATAAACAAACATTCAGAAAAAAATCAATTTTTATTACAAATGTTATTGACTTCGCATCGCAAACAGCATTTCAGTTCATTGAACTTTGTTTGCCTTGAGCATAAATACATTTTTTGCAAAAGCAATTATAATGAGATATAAGATTTGTTTTGTATCAAAAACACCTAAAATACAAAAAAGTAACAAAAAACATAGTCATGCGGTAGAAAAGAACATCGGTGTGCAGACGTGTGTGTAAGGAGAGAGAGATGAAAAAAGGACGTTATAAAAATATATATAGAATTCATGGCTTTATCCTTCTTTACAGGTGATATTGGTTTACATCATTAAAATCGGTGATGTTAAGCATGATATGCAAAATATAACATTACACACCCGTGGAGCGAAAGTGGGAAGGAGGGGACAGAAAGATAAAAATCAAAATATAATGATGTTGTAAAAAGAAACAAAGAGGAAAAAATTGGAAGAAACTGAAGAATCAATAGGAATAAAAAAGTATACATTTAAAATCAAGTGGCATGGTATGGGATAGAGAAGTATAAAACGGTGGAGGTTGAAAAAGACTTAATTTTACCCCGCCTTTTTTTCTACTTGCTTAGGGAATATTAATGTTTTTTTTTTTTTCTTTAAAAAAATATAATTAGGTTCGATGTTTTTATAGCAAAAAATAAACTAAGTGGCTTTCGAGTATAATTTTTTATAGAAAAACAAAAAAAAAACCATTTGCACTAGAGTGCAATTTTTTTACTATAGCAAAAAGATTGAAGATTGAGTAAAAATTCTTCAGTATTACAGTAGATTTTTACTATAGAAATATGACACAATGGTACATAAAAATGATTTTCTTTATAGAAAAATGTGAATTTTTTCTGCAGAAAAAATTGATAAAGAATTGAAAAAATCAATGTCGCAATCGTATATCTTTTAAAAATATTTTTTTGAAGGACAAACAGAGCAATATTGTAAATTTTAGGAAACATTTTTTAAGGACCGTCAAAGCAATAATAGTGAATTCTTAATGAAATTTATTAAAAGGTCTATTATTTTTTATAGCCATAAATAAAAAATATAGTAAAAAACAGTTGCGTTGAAAATATACTAAAAATTCTTTAGTGTAATGTTTAGGAATTTTTTACTATAGAAAAAAGGCACAACGATACTAATAACTAATTTCCTTCGTAGAACATTTTCCCTAAAGAAAAAATTTAAAAATTGATAATTAATTGAAAAATCACAGTCGCATTTATAAATGTTTTAATGTTTTTTAAAGGACGAAGTTTTGAACTTTAAGAAATATATTTGAAGCAATGATGGTGTATTCCTAAAAAAAATCTTTAAAGGACCATTGGAACTATAATCAGGGATTTTTGGGTAGGATTTTTGGTTTCAGCAATATTTACAAGGAGCAACTAACCTTTAATTGTGCATTTTCAAGGATATTTTTTTAAAGACCGACTGTCAATCTCGATTTTTAAGGAATATTTTAAGAAGTACTATCAAAACAATAATATTCATTTTTTTAGGAATAAATTTGTAGGACAATCAAATTTTCCAATTTTATCTAAAATTGCTTTGTACTTTGAGAAAATAATTTTGAGTGACTTCTACTGCTATATTCTTGGGTTTTTAATGATATTTTTTAAAGGACTGTCAAGGCTATATATTTTTTAACGATGTTTTAGAAAAATCAAGCCTGTAAATTTTTTGCGATGACATCTTAAATAAAATTTTTGAAAATTAAGAAATACATATCTGTAGGATGTTCATGATTATTTTGTGAAATACCAGCAGAGTCAATTTTAAGGAGTTTTTCTTGGAGGATAACAACTCGGAAAAAAATCTTGGATTTTTTAAGAATATTTTTCAAGGATCAACAAATGTATATTTTTCAAATATTTTGCGAAGGAGCATCAGAGCTACAATCATACATTTTAAGGAATATTTTTTTTGAAGACCAACCAAGCCCCACTAGAGAATTTTGAAAATATTATTTTTTTGATACTTTCAATATTTCTTCCAAAGGCCAAGAGATATCCAAAACGGGATGCGATTTCAAGAACCAACAGATCTGAAATTTTCTTTCTTTGTACTTGTCAGAGAACTAGAAAACCAAAAAAAGTGTTTTTCGGTTTTTTTAGTAACATTTTTTCGAACCACATGTATATTCTGCAAGGATCAACAGTACCGCAGAGTAGAATTTTATAAAGAATATTTTTCTTTAATTTTTTACGGAGCAACAAAGCCTCAAAACTTTGATTTTTTAGCAATATTTTTTCAAAGATCATCAAAGCCTAATTTTGAGATATTTTTTAAATATTTTTTGAGGTCCAGAGCCCCATTTAAGGATTGTTTATTTTATTTTAAAATATTACTCTCCAAGTACTGAAGCTTTTTAAGAAAAGTATATTGTTGAGGCAATATTTTTTCAAGGACAAAAAGGACCTTATAGAGAATTTTCTAAAAATATTTTCTCGAAGCCTAACAGAGCCACAAAACGTAAATTTGTTAAAGAACATTTTCTTTAGGATCTACAGGGCTCCAGTTAAGGATTTTTAAGTTTTACAAGATATGGATAGTAAATATCCCTGAATCAACAGAGCCACAAAACTGCGAGTTTTAAAGTATATTTTTCAATACCAAAAGGAGGCCCAAATGAGAATATTTAAGGAATATGTCTTCAGAACCCAACAAAACGGATTTTTAAGGGCAAGCAGATCAGTACAGTACAGAATATTCTTTCTTTGTAATTTTAGGGAATAAGAGGGTGATAAAACTTGATTTTTTTAGGAATATTTCTTCAAGGAACAACAAAGCCACATCATATTTACAAATGGAATAACAAAGTTAATATAACCTTCATAGAATGGTGGAGGATATAAAAATTTGAAGAACCATCGCTAATTTAAAAATATTTTTAAAAGAAACCTGAGAACCCCTCTGTTAGTACTTTAATGGGTGTTTAAGGAACCCGATCAGATGTATTTTGGAAAAAAAATGAAGATTAATTAGTGGTGCAACCATTGATAATTTTTAAAGGAATGCCAACCTCGACAAAAAATGGCTTTGAAGGAAGGTTTTTTAAATGATATCAAAGCCTCGATCGTTGGTATTTTAGGATTTTTTCAAAATCTTGAGAGCCGAAATCGTGGATTTTTTGAGGATCCGCCGTATTCTAATCACCACCATTTATCAATTTTATTTCAAAGTCACCATTGTCGGGAATAATAACGAATTTACTTCTATATGGCCCAATATAAGTTATATATTTTAAACGAGGAGAAGTTAACTTTAAATATTTTTCTTCCAATTTTTTGCGATTCCTTAAAGTTTATACAAAAAATCTTCAACTTCACGCAAAATTAATGGGCGTGTATAGAGTGGAGGATGTCTCCATCAAAACACCATCCAAATTCCATATGTCACATCTTCGAAGAACTTGCCTCACACACAGTTCTTGTACTTTTTTTTCGATTCTGATTAATACACAACGAATGCTACCATTCCCGTTTCAAATATATGCATGATTTGACATGTGTATTGAACCAATTCCAAACTATATGTCCCGTGAAAAAGTTGTCAGATCCACAAAAGGATGGCAGGGGAAAAACAATATGTTACTGGCTGTCATCTATGGTTTGTTTCACATCCCGACAAAGACATGTATATTACAAATGGTGAAAAAAAAAAAAAAAAACAGAGGAAAATCGAAAAAACAAAAACAAATGAGAAATAGAAATGTTAACCCTTCATTAGAATATTGAAGCGACAGACGACGACTGGCTGACTGATTCATCAATACAATCGTGATGGTATTGATAACGAATGCATATGGAATTGTTTTTCTATTTATTCTTCGTGATGTGGAAAACCAATTGTCGTTGCTTCCTTTTTTTTCTTCTTTTGTTCCTTTTCGTTTCGCAGAAGGCTGACAACCGTGACGCCTCTTAAATATGCAGACAGAAAACAATTGAAAACATATTAATGTTGGGTTGTGCGCAAAAAAAAAATCCCCCATGCCATGGAATGAAAACACATGTGCATGCCTAAAAGTATGCCGCAGCCAACGCAACCCCTCAAAATATGCCTCACTAACAACACAGAAAACCATTTGCCAACAACATTCATCACTTTGCCGATGTTTGTTCTTCGAGAAGCGAGAAAAAAAAATACTCTTGACGATGCTGGCTGGCTGGATGGCAGCCTCAATGCCTGTTGGTTGAATGCCTGTATTTTAATGATGTTTGTCTAGGCAAATTCAGACCGAGAGTGTTGGCATTTCCATTTTGGCAAATTCATGTAAACACATTTTCAACTTACTCAGCTATTAGAAAATTTATCTAGTATTAAATTGCTTCTGTTGCGTTCACTCACCTGCAAAGAAATGGAGAAAAAAGGGATTCAATTAATTATGTTGCTTGCTACATTTTTCTAAAGTGGAGGGGTTTATCAAATCTTAGGTATTAAGCTATTAATTTATATGTGTGCAAACCTTAATGTAAATATAAATTAGAGAGAGGATTATGTTGGCCCGCCACCAAAAAAAAAAAAAAAACTGGAGATAACACCCAAAAACATTTTTAATGGCCAGACGCATAAAGATCCCAGCACCGGAACATAATCCCTTTCAATTCTAATCCTAACCACCTTCGCATAAAATCTCATAAAAGTGTACGCAAAAAAAACCAAGGGGTTCCCACACACACACATGTGATTATGTGTATGAATATGTGTTATCAAAAAGGTTTTGTTGATGACCTCCCCCTCATCCTCTACCCCCACCGCCGAAAAAAGTATGTACGTATATATGGCTTTATTTTTTTGGTTGTACGTTCCTTTTCCGTAAATATTTTATGAAAAGTTTTATTATTCACATATGGGACGTTAAATGTATGAGGGGGGTGGGCCTGGCCGCCCACACTTTGGGGTAAAACATTTACAGAAGAAAACTGAATTTTTGAAATTTCACTCCATTTGATGGAATATGTAAAGTTTAGATAAACAACATATTCACTACATACATTTATGTAAATATGTATGGAATTTTTGCTACAGATTATTTTTTAGTTTATTAATAGGTAGCGAACTCGTTGCAGAGTTTCAACTGTTTCTATGATGAAGAAAGCTTTTAGAGCTATTTTTGGGCAACTTTGGGAGTTTTATAGGCAAAAAGTAAATAATTGTTATCGAGAGAATAATGCGACTTAATCCCGCTATTTAAACTGTTTGTAGAGTTATAAATCGAATAAATGTCTTCCTTTGAGACATTCCGCCTAAATTGAAAATTTATGTTACTTTCAGGCGTATGCTCGAAGAACGTGCGAGGAAAAATATGTTGTTGTGTGTAATTTTAAGGGACACAAGAGTTCCCGTTTATACTCCAAAAATGGTCTCTTTATACTACTACCGAAATTACCGATATTACAATATGTAATCCTGCGTTGATTTGATGGAAAATTATGTTGTGGGTCTGATTCTGGACGTTTTTCCTGGATTTATCTATTTTAACGAGCAAATTGTGTAGGTCATATGAAAGCGGAGTACATTTATTTTATTTCTCCATATATATTATCCCAAACTTTGTACAGACATTGATATTCTCCAATAAGTTAGAGACTTTATAGGTACATATCGGTTCACATTTAGATAAAAAGGTCGAAGAGACATTCAAATAGCACAGTATTTTAAGTCTAAAAGTATGGATTTTTGAGAATACATTTAAGAAATACAAGAACTTTTAATGTAAATTTTGTAGGATTTTTCTTTTGTAGTTTTTTTTTTTTTTTTTTTTTGACATCAAAGATACAGTCGCGAAGTTTTATTTACTTATTATTATTTTAATTTTTTTAAAGGCCAAAGCGTGTGTATACTGGTTGAGATAAAAAACTGCAACAAAGTCAAACGCCATAATTTTTACATTTTATTGAATGAAAGCAAAAAAATGTCGGAAATAGCATCAAGTTTTAGAATAAGTTTAGATTTGTTCGAATTGGACCTTTGGCACAAATTATGGCCTTCAAACGGCCAATGAAACCATCACACGCTGCCCGAATGCTGCTCTGCGATATTTTGGCAAATTCCCAGCGAAGCGCTTGCTTGGACACTTTGGTATTTTTTAGTGCCAACCTTGCTTTCCAAAATACTCCAGACACAACTGTCCAACGGATTGGTATTAGGAGATTTTGGCGGCCATTGTGCGCAGAGAAAACCACTTTCGGCCAAGCGAAGCAACTTTTTAGCTGTTTTGAATTAACTTTCTTTTAATATTTGCCGAATGGAATATTGCGATATGTTCAGCTCACGAGCCATTTTTCGGCCGATGCAATGCGGTTTTCAATCAAGTCGCTTCTTTACTTTTCGAACCATTTCTGCTGATGTTGCTATTTTCTTCCGTCCACTTCCTTGACGTCGGGCTACGCTACCAGTATCACGGTAACGAGCGATGGTACGAGACGTAAAAGATTTATTCACATTTAAATGCTAGAGTGCACCTTGTGGTTTTCCAGCCAAATATAACTAAATCACACTATCACGCTTGGATTCCATCACGAATAACTTTTTTCCGAAAAATTCTCACCAAAATGCTTTTGCACGATTGTAAACAATATAATGAGCTGTCACTGGAATAATTTTAACAGCTGTCGGACAAGTGACCTAAAAATGACAGCATTCTGAAGTTGGTTGCAGTTTTTTCATCTCACCCTGTATAATCGTGTTTTTTTTAAATTTTTTTGAAGGACAAACTAATCCACAATCTCGGATTTTTTGAGGTGGTATAGTCGAGAATTTTTTAAGAAAATTCAGAATTCTGAACATTTTTCATCTAGTCTTAGATTTTTTAAATCAATACAATTATAGTTTTGTATTAAATTAATAAATAAAGGAACAACAGAGTTTCAGACTTAAAAAATTTAAAAAAAAATTGTTTGAAGGTTCAACTGAATGAAAGGAACAGGTTTAAAGGGAGCAACAGGTTTGTAAATTTTCAATTTTATTTATTTATTTATTTATTTTTTTAATTATAAACAAATCTAGTCGTCGATTTTTTTAAATCATCGATATTTAAATTTTTTAAAAATATTTTTAAGGGAAAACAATCGTAAATTTTTAGAAATATTTTCGCAGGAATTTTTAAAAATATTTTTGATTTTTATTGATTTGTAAAAATATTTTTAAAGACTAATAAGGGATTCTTGTAAACTATTTCCTTAAAGGATGAAGTCGTGGAGAATTTAAAAAAATTGCTTAAGGCGTTTCTAAGGCGTTTATTCTACGGTTTGGACTTAAAAAATATTCCTAAAGGACCTAAAGACGTGGACTTTTTGAAAATCATTTTAAATCACAAAATCGTGGATTTTTTAATCGGATTTTTTTTAAAGGATAAAAATATTTATAAACGACAAAATCGGATATTTGTAAAAATATTTTTAAAATGAAAGTAATTAATAGCGTTAGTTGTGGATTTTCTAAAAAATTTGGAATTGTTGATTTATAAAAATACTATTAAAGGACCAAATTATGGATTTCTCAAATATATTTTAAAAGGACAGAGATGTGGAATTCTTAAATGACTTGTATAAAACCATATCGGTTGGTCCGTCATCCACGACCAAATCTTGGATTTTTTTTAAATATTTTTAAAGAATCAAATAACTGACGGACCAACTAATATGGCAGTAGATCGTCAGGTCTTTAATCGAAAATATTTTTAAAGGATTAGGTGTTTAAAAACATTAAAAAAATAAATAGTGAATTCTGTATAAATATTTATATAAAGCTTCAAGTCGTGGATTTTTTAATATATATTTTTTTTAAGGTCAAAGGGTCTTTAATTGTGTGCTTCGTTCAAATATTTTTTGAAGGATAAATAGTCTGAACAAGCGGCCATTAAAACGGATGTACCAACTAACTAAAAATTTGCCAAATTTTTAGAGAATGTATTAAAATTGACTATTACGGAAGATACTATAGATATTTTTTTTCTTTTTATATCATATTAATAAGGCTTTAAAAAAGATATATAACATGAAGAACGTGGGGACCTTCCCCACAAAACGTCAAGCATTTGAATAATTATAACTCTTATAAAAATCTGAAATAAATACTTGATTTTTTCAACTTGGTCTTCCCCAACAAAGGATAAAGCTTTTGAAGTATAATAAAGTACAATAAGAGCGAAATAAGTTCTCGATTTATTCCGAATTTCTAATATCTTAATATTTGAATCGGGTGCGAAAATAGCTAGTATAGGTGAGAGCTAAGAAATGCTCGCTCGAATTCGAGAGAGATTACTTCTGCAGGTAAAAAAGAAATCGATTAAACTATATTTTTGTGTCATTTACTCTATTTCTAATATTCTGCATTCCACGCTTTTTTCAGAAAGGGGGACCCGCAAGCACTCCCACATAAAACAAAAACGTGGAGGGAAAACTTCGTAAACTCACACTATTCGAGCACTCCCGCCCGCGAGTTTTTCTACCCTCGAGTACAAATGAGCAAATCTGAGCTCTGCTATAGGCATACTCCTTGTGATACCTTTCTCACTTACCAGGGTCAAAATTTTATATAATTCGAACATAGTTTTTTTTTTTTTTTTTTTTTTTTTTTTGAATCACAATAAAGTCAGGTGCGAGTATTGGCTGCCTTCTTATAGTACAATTGGTCAATATTTTAAATAACCATGACTCTTAATATTTCTATCAATTAATGTCTATCAATTAATTAACGTTAACGTGTTGATAAAACTCTATGCCGACTCCCCTCAAGTTGTGAGAGAACTAATAAGAATTATATTATATTTTTTAATTCTGATACTAATTTCTTTTTTTCGAACCACCAATTTCCAAAATATTTGCAACATTTTATTTTTTAAGGTTATTTGGGCTTCATCGATCTGATTATGACATATTTCTTATAGATTTACGGATTTAACGGAAATCACAGTTTCCCCCCTAAATTTATTTTTTCCCAGTTACTAAGTAGAACAATGTTTTGTCCCACTGCAACATTTGCCAAAAAATGATTTTTTTATAATTTTAAATTAATAAAGAAAATGTTAGTATTTCTCTTTTAAAGTTCACCAAAACTTTGTTTGAATTTAAATGTATGTTTTTATTTTTAAATATTTTTTATTTTAATTTTTATATTTTTATGAACACTCACAATAAAAAAAACTTAATATACTCACCGAAAATGCTTTCAAGAACACTAAACACTGGATGATGCCTTCCATTGTGTCGCCGGTTAGACAAAATGTGCCCGTCAAATGTCTACCCTTACGGCCCACTGTGGCCGCAGCCAGCGAGGCATGGACCAGGGCACGTTGTTGGCCCTTTGTTGTTGCCGTGTTAACGCTAAGAGCGCGCGGCAATGGTGCCGCACGCATTATACGCTCCAAGGAGTCCATAATTTGTTAAAATGGATGTGTAATGGCGAGCGAGGAGAGTGAGTGAGAGAGAGGAGAGTAGATGCAGATGCAAATGTAGTTGCAGTTGCAGTTAAAACAAAAATTGTTGTTGTTCTTGTTGGCTCGATGTAATGAGCAGCACCAGGTTGTTGTGGAAAATAGAAATATTTTCTTATTTTTTCTTGTTGTTGTTGTTAATTTTAATTTCAAGTTAGTTAAGTGTAGTAACACTTTTCATGGTGTTGTTGTTGTTGTTGGTGTTTTTTTTCTGTTGCTGCTGCTATTTAGTTTTAAGTTAATGGCTTCACATACTTTACAACCTACTTGGTAGGTGTTTTTTAGTTGCTAAGTTGTTTATAATTATTTCATTTATGTTGTAGTAGTTGTAGTTGTTGATGAAGTTTTTAGTTTTGGTTTTCTTGTTGCTTGAAAATGTCATTTTTTTCGTATGTTTATTTCATTTAAAATTGTTTATATTTAATTTTTGATTTCTTAAAATATTTACATAGTTTCTTTATTGTACAATATTTTCTTAAAAATTTCTTAATAACGTTCAATTTCTTTTGTTTCGTTTTCTTGATCTGAGGAATCTAACTTTAGAAAGAGATTTTCAAAAGAACAAAAAGAGAACGGAAAATTTGAAAATTTTTATTAGATTTTTTATTGGCTGGGTTGGAGAAAATAAGGGGATTGATTTTTTTTCTGTGATGGGATGAAATGAGGATTTTTTTTTCAATTTATTTTCTCAAAGGAAATAAATAAGAAAAAGCACACAGAGTTAAGGTTTTTTGTTGAGATGTAATACTTCGCATATTTAAATTTGATGGCATGTCTTAAAAGCCTACTCTCAGGCGAATTTAAAATAATCAAAACATATACTTCCGGTACTTTCATTGAAAGCACATTTCCGTTGTATGAATGTTGTAAACTTCCGGCATATCATTAATTCTCAAAATGAAAGAAGATGAGAAAACAGGAAATGGTAGATATGAAAGGATATGTTAAGAGGTCATGGGGATGGGGAAGTCGCTCATATACAAATACTCCAACCTCCAATGAATCCCCCATTCAGATGTGTTAGAAATACCATGTAATTTACTTTGCCGACCACCCTCATCTTCCAGTCGCACACCTCTATAAGCCTTTCAAATGTGTTGCAGTAATTTTGTAACACATTTCCATACAATTTACACAGCACTTTTTGCTGTGGTAAGCCGCCCACAAGTAGGCTTTGATTAAAAAATGAATTACTCGAAAGCCTACAAGTATGCTGTGATTTACCACAACTAACATTTAACAGGAAAAAAAAAAACAGCCAACCGTGTAATTCTCCATACGTCTAAGTGTGTGTGTTTGTTTGTTTGTTTGTTTTTGAAGAGTGTCTACGGAGAAAATGTATACAAAATAAATTGAATCAAAATGCCTGTAAACCAAATTTACACACTAGCTTTTTTTTCGAAATGCATATGTATGTACATACCCCCCCCCCCTTTTTTTTTTCATATGATATATGAATACCTTATCTACTCCATGTTTACTAACACTTCTACACCATGTAAAGAGAGTATGGAGAGTATATAATGAGGCAAAAAAATGAGATGTTATAAAGAAACAAAAGTGAAAGAAAAGAATAGAGGATCTGTTGACTGCCAGAGGTAAATTTGTTTTGCCAAATGAATAAACGAATGAATTGAAAAGGGTATAAACGAAAGCACACAAATGAAACACCATTCATCCACATTCACATGTTTGGATAGATAGACAGACCTTTAAAGAGAAAACAGATAACAAAAAAAGTATGTTCCAAAGTTTTTCCCAGCAAAACAAAGTTTCAGAGATGGGACAAATGGGTTTTAAAGGCAGATAGTATGAAAATCTGATCGATATAAAACACAGTGCGACAAATTTAAATTTTTCAAAAATCGCGTCAAAAATCCAGCAGATTATGAAATTAGAGGTAAAAATAGGAGTCACCTGTATCGGCGTTACAAGGTAATTGAAAAGTTTCTAATTTTTTTTTTGGAAATTTTAAGATTTTTTGGAATCCGTTGGTTTTAGGTATAAATTGGCTTTGGCAAAATTGGAGATAAAAACACGAGTCAAATAACCAAAAAAAATGGTTGAAAATTTTAACCACCAAGCAAGTCAAAAGAGGGGTCTTTTTTAAAAATGTGGTTCAAAAATCCCTTTATACGGGATCGTTCTAAGTCAAAATATTCTACAAAATTATTTTTTTTATAAAATTCACTCGTCCGACAGCTGTTAAAATAATTTCAGTGACAGCTCGTTATATTGTTTACAAGCGTAAAAAAGAATTTTGAGGAGAATTTTGCAAAAAAAAAATATTCGTGATGAAATTCAAGAGTGATAGTGTGATTTCTTTATATTTCGCTGGAAAACCACAAGTGGCTATCGTTAGAGCACTCCAGCATTTAAATGTGAATAAATCTTTTGTGTCTCGTACCATCGCTCGTAACCGTGATACTGGTAGCGTAGCCCGACGTTAAGGAAGTGGACGGAAGAAAACAGCAACATCGGAAGAAATGGTTCGAAAAGTAAAGAAGCGACATTATCGAAATCCGCGTCGCAGTGGTCGAAAAATGGCTCGTGAGCTGAACATATCGCAATATTCCATTCGGCAAATATTGAAAAATCTGCTCGGGGTAAAGCTATTGAAATTTCAAAAAGTTCAAAAACTTAAATTCAAAAGAGCTAAAGAGTTGCTTCGCTTGGCCGAAAGTGGTGAACTGCCGAATTTGGCTTTCTCCGATGAGAAAACATTTGTTGTCCAGCAGTTTGTAAACAAAAAAAAATGATCGTGTTTACTTGCCAAAGAGGGTAGCTGAAGACCACCACCAGAACTCAAGCGCCGTCAGCCGATGGTCGCTTTCCGCTCGTATTAATTGACCGTGGCATCAGAATAAATGCCGAATATTATCGCGAAAATATTAAAGCCTTGGGCACGCAAACATTTTGGCCGCAAACCTTGGACATTCCAACAGGACTCAACACCATCGCACTCAGCACGCGCCACCCAATAATGGTTACGAAATGAGGTTCCTCGCTTCATTTCCAGCGCACGATGGTCACCAAAATCTCCGGATACCAAGACTATTGTGTCTGGAGTTTTTTTTGGAAAGCAAAGTTCGCACTAAAAAATACCAAAGTATCGCAAGCAAGCGCTTCGCCGCAGAGCAACATTCGGGCAGCTTGTTACGGTTTCATTGGCCGTTTGAAGGCTTTTGGTCCTTTGTGTTCATCCTAGGAAGAAATATAGTTGTTGCTGATAGGAGAGAGACAGAAAAAAGAGATAAAAGGGTTTACAGAGATTCACTACAGTTAGCAGGGCGGTCTGCTTAGCCAGGGAAGGTTGTTGGCAAAATTGAAGCTGAAGATAGCATCTATGTTAACAAAAAATTTGTTCGAATTTATATCTCGAGCTAATTCATCAGACACCTCATTCTCCACTACGTAGCTGTCCTGGAACCAAAAAAAGTTTAATGCTATCACTGAAAGCAGTTTTCAATAAGAGTGGGTGTCCTCGATTCAAAGGAACTTGACTGATAGCTTTTTTTTATTTTATTTTTTTTTCGGAGGGGGTTTTAATTTTTTTCTTCCAAATGTCATCGCTGTCGTGGAGGCGCTTAGATTGACCATGGCTAGCCTCCGTACCATAGACCCAATAACTAAACCGCCAGGTATTAACGAAGCTCTGTTAGAATACGTTCGGTACCCTGACTGCAAACCTGACACACAGATGGGCACGTGGTCGCATAACACTTCAGCCAGGAGGTTTGGCTACTTTAGGAGCACCGAAACATGGTCTCGTAGGTTCAAGGGTATTAAAGCCGGTAATCGGACCCCATTTTTGAGTTCCAAAAAATTTCGAATATAAAATTTGAAGTTGGGCTTTTCTCTGACGAAGTAGCGGCCACTTGTTAGGGTTTATATATTCTATATCAATACATACGGGATATTATTGGTTAGAGAAAAAAAACAAGTAAAAAAGCAGTAAGTTCGGCCAGGCCGAACTTTGAATACCCTCCACCATTTGGAACGAATTAGAAAATTTTCAAAAAAAAAAAATAAAATCCATTAAAAATTCTTTTAAAATCTTTAAAATATCTAATATAGGAAAGTGCCGATATGGGGGGATATACGATATTGTGGACCTATAAAGAAAAATCTATGTCTGCGTGTAAAGCACTCACAAGGAACTCCTTGTGTGGATTTTCAAAATACCGAATATCGCGGGGTATCTTTATATGGGAGCTATACTTTATCGTTAACCGATACAGAGAATTCTCTGTCGGGGGGTAAAGTGCTCACAAAGAACCCCTTGTGACCATTCCGTTGAAAAATATGGCTAAAAACATCAAAATACCGAATATCGGGGGTACCGTTATATGAGGGCTATACGATATCGTGGACCTATATAGATAATTCTCTGCCGAGGTATAAAGTACCCACAAGGAACTCCTTGTGCGGATTTTCAGATAATTCCGATGAAAAATGTTTGTAAAATCATCAAAATACCGAATATCGGGGGTACCGTTATATGGTGGATATACGATATCGTGGACATATATAAACAATTCTTTTTCAGGGGCTAAAATGCCAACAAGGAACTCCTTGTGTGGATTTTCAGACAATTCCGATGAAAAATGTGGGTAAAATCATCAAAATACCGAATATCGGGGGTACCGTTATATGGGGGATATACGATATCGTGGACCTGTATAGACAATTCTCTCTCAGGGGGAAAAGTACTCATAAGGAACTACTTGTGTGGATTTTAAGAAAATTCCATTGAAAAATGTGGCTAACATCATCAAAATACCGAATATCGGGGGGTACAGTTATATGGGGGACATACGATATCGTGGACCTATATAGACAATTCTTTTTGAGGGGGTAAAATATCCACAAGGGACTCCTTTTGTGGAATTTCAGACAATTCCATTGAAAAATGTGGCTAAAATCATCAAAATACCGAATAT